ATTTGTGTCTGGGAATGTAATTATAGCTATTTTCTCCTCCAGACAGAGTTTACACTTGTAGGCTGATATTGTTTTCCTTATTTTCTATGATATTTTTGGTGTGATTTGTGTTTTGTTTTTAATTTCCCATGTAAGTTCAGAAAGCATTGTACTGATCATGTATTTACTATTTGTAAAGGATGTTTTGTGTGCATTCCAACTCCATTCCAATTATCCGTCAGTTACTTCTATGTATATTTTTTCTTAGTTATCTGCTGATTTTAAAGTGGCTTAGTATATTATATTGTTTTGCCAACAACTGCCATTTAAGGGATGTTTGTTCTTTGCTCTGCAGTTACATGTGGGTTTGATTTGTGTGGATGGTTTGTTGGTGGTTTTACTGTTGTGCTTTTTTTTTACTATGTTTTTGTTGAATATCTTGTAAAGTTATTTGTGTTTGAGTTTAATGAATTTTTTCTTATGTTTGTTTTTACGTTTTTGTTGTATGGTGAGTTGAACCATATGGGGTTTCTTTTCCTGTTGAATTTTTTGGTGGTTTCAATGTGAGTGTTGCTGAAAACCAACTATCTTTTAAGGCTGCTTCCTAATCTTTCTTGGCTTTGTTGAAGATGGTTTCACTGGAAGAATTGTCAGATAACCTGTGGTTAATTGATTGTGGGATTTTCTTGATTATTGGTGGTGGTTAGTTGGAAAATGTGTGTATGTATAGTGGTTTGTTGTTGAGTTTTCTATATGATTGATATGTACCTTTTCTTACCTAGCATTTCTACTCAATAGTCTCTAAAATAACTTGAAACTAGATAATACAATAGACCTACTTACAATTCACCATTGACCAGCATATATAAATAATCAAGCCAAATGCAATTTTCAGGCAATGTGTCAACACACGTGGCCTGAAAATTGCATTTAAGCATGAAACAGTGTCCATTTTATATATTTATATATGCTGTTTCCCTGATATTGTAGTAATTTAACCCAAAATATAGCATAGCCAGTAGATAAACAGCAGTTATAGAATTATTTATTAGATAGAAAGAAGTGAAGTGATAATGAAAGAAAACGAGAATGAATCAGTATATAAATTGAAAAAGAAAAAAGTACAAACACTTGAATAATTATTAAGCTTTATATGTGCAAGATGCTACTTAATGAAGAGATTATGACCTCCTTTGAACTATTATTTAATAATTGCATAATGATGCAACAAAATAATACAAACAATAATAAGCCAAAATAAATGTGAAGAAGTTAAAAAAGAGTAAAGTAAGATACATTACATTGCAGTCTGAAGGAGTTCATTTCAAAAGTATAATTGGTAAAAACAGTGCTAAGAAAGATCATTCAAATGTTTTTGATAATGTTCATTATTCAAAAGAAAAAGAAAGGGAAGAATTATAGCTTTTCTACTCAAGGCAAGAAGTGACAAGAACAACAAAAAGAATGCAACATAAACAAAGAAACTAGAATCAATATTTATCAGGCACAATGACAGATGAGATTTGAAGCTTAAAAATGTTTATATAAAATGAAAAAAATCCAAAATTTGAATCTGAGGCTTTTGTCAGTTGAAGTCATTGCAAATTATCCATATAAATTTGTGCACAGGTATATGCAAATAAGGTAATCTTCATTGCAATAATTAGAAGGCATAATGTTTTTTCCATTTCATCACTTGTATGAAAAATTACAAATAACAGACCTTCATTGATAAATTGGCCAACATAAGATACAAATAAAATGTAGCATTTGTAATCAAAGCATCAATTAAGACATTATCATTTATCCTGTGACATAATAGTAATACATTCACCTTAATAAAGTAATATACTTTTTTTTTAATTATTTTAAATCAAAACTGTTTCAAGTCTGAAGTAAGCAAAATTTGTTAGCCAGTCAGATAATTTCTCCAACAAATTTATGAAGCCATTGTGCTTACAATATAAATAAATTTAGTTCTTTTATCCTATAGAAAAACTGCATGGACAACATTGTAATGAAAGCCTTAAAATAAAAATAACCAGTTTTTATCAGAATCTTCTTAGATCAAGTGACATAAAATTGACGTTAATGATTTCAGTATCAGATTACAACTGAAGGTGCAAACTGAATTATCACACATACTTCTGGAACCATAATCTTTATTTTTGTCTTTTCTAACAAAATATTTTGACCTTCCTCAAGTATACATTACATCTTGCAGTGTTAGAAGTTACTTATCTTATTATCATTATTCAATAAGAGTTTAATAAAAAATAGTTGTGGTTGTCAATACCTTATGTTAATGACATTAAAAAATCTCTTTTCATAAAAATGAATTGGCCTTTTGTAATAGAACAAATGCACTACTCTGAGCAAGATGTAATGCTTTCACTAAAATTATTACTAATAATAGTTTTGATTTGGACAAGGAAAAGGTAGTAATTACATAGATATAGTCCCCAGATATATTTTGTTAGGTAAAGATGCAAAAAATGTTGCAAGTTATTGTTAGTAGGAAAAAAGCCATATTAGTGAGATTTGACCAAGAAGAGACTAAGGAAATACAATGTACCTTAAATTATCCAATAAAAAGGTAAGTAAAGAAAATTCTCTTAATTCTTCCTATTACCCTGTAGTCTAAATGTTTTCTTTCATCCTCTAAGAACAGTTTGTAATTCTATTAATATTTTTCAAGGAGTTTGAATATAAAAAATTCTATGTTAATTCAAAAATTCATTGTTAATGTTTCTGTTATTTTTTTTTACCTTTGAAATTTAGACTTAAAATAAAGTGAAAGAAAATTTGTGGGGTGCTCCAATGACATTAATCGATATGTTTATTGATATGACTAAACTGAACTTGTAAATTAGAAAAAAAAATCTCTCAACATTAATTTCTCTGCCATCACTAAACTTTTAAATAGTTGTGTGATGGATAGAGATGGTAACAGGATAGCACTGGAACCAAGTTAGGACTGGCTCAATCTTGGGTGGTTTGAAAACACAGCATTGTGAATTACAGGGGAAATGTCCCATGCATGCAGTAATGAATTTACTAACCACTTACCAGAAATAATATTTCAGCTGAAACAATTTAAAAAATAATAAATGTGATGAGAATAGTCTAAAAATATGTGAAATAATAACTATATCTATCAGAACTTTAATAAATAGCACACTTAATTTCTCAACTATAGGTGAATAGTAGAATGAATAAACTGTAGTTTGATAAAATGTAGTGACTGCAAATTGTAGTTTTACCTAAACAAATCTGTTTTGTTTTTATTTTGTTAATCGTGTCTACTACCCTGTGGAATATAGAGTCAATGTCACCATGTTAGATGTTGCTACTCTAGTTTCTGTAGCAAATGTTTTTTTTTGTATTTTTTACATGATGAAGTTTCTAGCTCCATGCTCTTCTGGTTTTTAATTTCCATCTGTCCGTCTCCTAAACTGGTTGTCAACCAAAGCAAGAGAGTCCCATGTGCTCTGCAATTAACCATTAACTGGAAGGAGAAGAGATGTATTCATACCTTTTTCAAGAGTATTTGTGCAAAATCGAATGCAACAATGTTGACTGGAATTTTAATTTAACATGCCAATGCTACTTTCTGTGTTGATAACCACTGTGCTATACACACATCCAAACCAATCTGTTAAGTTCTAATAAATCAGTAGAAAAAAAATAATCATTTGGTTATTTCTACAAACCCAAACATCTCTGAATAAATTTTCATTATTCCACACAGCTTAGTATTAATGTTTTTCTCTTTCACATTGTAATTTTGATCCTAAAGTTTAGCTGAATAATTAATAATAGCATATGAAAGCTGCCTGCACTTAAATAATAATTGTTCTACAGGCAGGAATATTTATGTAAGACATAAACAAAGATGAAACATTGTGCCTCCTCTGTTGTTTAAAAAGGTTAAAAGACTACTTTTGTCGACTGATCAAATATGTCTTTGAATGTATTCAGTCTCAATAACATCAATCTGATTCTTAAAAGATTAGATTGGCTTTATAGTTTGATCTTCAATCTTTTTATGACTTTTGGACAATTTGCTCAAAAATCCTTCTATGAAAAAAGTGGATATTTATGAACATAATTGAGAGGCATCCTAAAATAATTTGCTGATTTGATCAATGTAAAGCACTCAGGTACACAAAAATAAATATGTGATAGATTGTTAAGGAAAAATCTCTAATCTCAGTCAATGACAAAATCATTTAAAATGATAGAAAAGCTTTTGCTATAGACAAACCAACTTCAATAAATGAATTCTGACTGTTTGTCTTCCATTTCACCAGTATGTAATATTGCAAATCTGTTAATTTACTAGTAATTCTTTGTTTGTTAAAATAGTTAAGACTCTCACAATCTTCCACTATCCTTACTCATTTTATAACTCTTGAAGCAAATGTTTTTGAAAGGTCTTTGTTCGTATCCATAAGAATAAGCCCTCATTCAAATAAATATTTATAAAATGTAGATATTCCAAGAAATTTGAGATTTAGTTGCGCACTCTTAATTGTTTCTTTTTATTTACTGTGCAGCAAAAAAATATCAACTAGGTCCTGAGAATTAGCTTTAAATGTATAGACTAGAAGTTAGTGTTGATAGATGTTAGCTACAGAAATATCTATTTTATGCAATTTTTCAGTTTAATAATTTTAAAATTGTCTCCTTTTGTAGAAATAAATCTTTTGTTATAGAACATCATACTAACCTTGTCATTGTATCATCATTTGTTCAAGAACTGACCAACTGAACATTGCTTAAATTTTATTTTTCTATATGCCATATCATTTTAAAATGAACTCAGACAAATTATAAATTTTGAGAAAGCGGTAAAATAAAATATCATTTGCAAGCAAAATACTTTTTTGTCATCATGCACAATGCTAAAATTGTTGAATAAATGATGCTAGATAAAACTAATAGAAAAACCTACCTGTCTGAAAGAGAAAATATTTTACTTACCGTTTTAATTCCATAGTATATCCGCTAATTAAAAATTAGCCACTGGCATCGGCAGAAACAACATTCTCTTTTGGATCATCAGAAGTTTTTTCAATGTCATTTATCAAATTATCAAGAGGATAGTCCCCATTGTGAGCTGCAGTCAAGGAAGTCATCTTTTCGGTCATATAGTCCGCACTTTTATCACCAAATTTATCGATGTCCATATGAGTGTCACCTTCATTGGAGGGTGATGACCTTGACGTTGGCTGCTCCATGAGGCTTATGTCTGATGCCGACTGGTCAACAGAGTTTGTACCTTGATAGCTTTCATCATTGTCCATATTGTCCGAGGGGCTCGTGTCCTGTTGCCAGAGCAACGGTTGCTCTTTATTGTCCAAGTCTTTCCAGCACTTTAGTTTCTCTAAGCTAGCTGCACTGTCACTGAACTCTAGCTCCTCACCCTCCCGGTCCTCAGAGGAATTACTCTGTGAATCACTGTCTGGAGTGTCCATATCTTCAGTTACACCAGGAGGGGAAGGAGTCGGGGTAGAGGAGATAGCCATAGCACCTGTCTCCTCTTCATCCAAATCAATACTTGGAGCGATCACATTGATCGGAGGAGTGGCTGTCATGGCCGAAATGTCGGTGGTTAGGGGCGTGGCAGTTACCAATTGTTGCTGTTGATGGTTTTGCTGTTGTTGGTGGTGTTGTAGTTGATGTTGTTGGTGGTGGTGTTGTTGTTTGTGGTTTTGATGCTCGTTATTACTGTGGTTGTTGAATGTCTCATAGTCATTGACAATCGTCACAGGTTTGATGATATGTTTTGGACGACATGTCTGGGAGCATCGCAGGCTAAGCTCCCCTACAACATTCCCTAAGAGATTCTCCGTTTCCTCCTTGTTCATCGCATCCTTCTTCAGGATGGATTTCTTCTTAAGAGTTGCCGGAGAATCAGAAATTATTGTAGGGGTTGATCTTCTTAATGAAGAAGACTGCTCTGAATAGGAATCGGTGGAGGAGTTGTCTTTGGTTTTGTCTGAAAGTAAAAGGAACAAGAATCACCTCTTGATAACTGTTATACAAATGTGGCATGTTATTATAAAGATTATTTGTGAGAAATACTTAAAAAAGATCAATGAGCACACACACACACACACAGAGACACACACACAGAGACACACACACATATCTTTGAAAAAATGTTTATATGTGTATGTATACATACATACATGATCTGTAAAACACTTTATTATGCAAAATATACCAAATATAATTCTACTCACAAAAAATACTTTTGTAGAAAAACAAAAATTATTCTTCTCCCTTGAAAACCTGAGAAACTACATAAAAATTCAAAATGTCAACACAGAATCTATGTTATTTATGCGATCTCATCACTGTACTGAGATTTGTTTACATTGATAAAGCAGTCTACTTCCTATTAATTAAGGAGCACTTACAGTATTTAAAAGTAAATTTAAAAGCCAAATTCAAACTATTTCAGAAGAATTAACATTCAAGCAGGAGTGAAGATAAGTTGCTGTCAGTCTTAGCAAAATGCTTAAGTTGAAAGTTTTAGAATGAATCTGATTTTTGGTTTATTTTTTACCTTTTTCAAAACATCAGAATATTATAAAATATAACAATAGCAATGTATTTTCATAATGACTGGAAAATAACACATACACAGGACAAATTTGAGATATAATAATAAATAATTTTTCACTTTCATCAAAATAAGCATATTGAAATTTTGAAATAAGAAGATAAGGATATTAATCCAAACAAATCTCAAAATGTCTTTGAATAGTTTGTCAATAAAATTCATAGAAAATATGTAGTAACTCCCTTGCCCTATATATATATATATATATATATATATATATATATATATATATATATATATATATATATATATATATCATAATGAGAAGCCACGTATACTTTCTTAATATGTATATATAGAAAAGTTTCAAATTAAAAATTATAATTTTTATTTTATGAAAGTATTTATTTATCTATATATATATTTGATATTTCAAATTGTCCTCAATTTTTTCATCAGAAATAACTGTTTGTTACAAATAAATTAAAATTACTGTTTGTTAGCAAGTAGCGTCCTTCGCGAGACGTGGACGTCACGTGATATGGAATGTCACTGTTCGGATATTCCTAACTTAAATCTAACTGTCATAAATATTTAAAAAAATTTTTTTTTACTATATCTAAAAAAAATTGCTTAACTATTGAAATATTTATAAAGATTTAAAACACCTAAGTCCCTATTCAACCCTAGTTTATGTGTATTTAATTTTAAAATCCAATATGTTTCTTTTTTTCTGCATGTGAATGTGGAAGATTCCGATTTTACTTCCACTAACTTAAATCTAACTGTCATAAATATTTTTAAAAAATTTTTTACTATATCTAAAAAAATTGTAACTATTGAAATATTTATAAAAGATTTAAAACACCTAAGTCCCTATTCAACCCTAGTTTATGTGTATTTAATTTTAAAATCAATATGTTTCTTTTTTTTGCATGTGAATGTGGAAGATTCCGATTTTACTTCCATTCACACGCAGAAAAAAAAGAAACATATTGGATTTTAAAATTAAATACACATAAACTAGGGTTGAATAGGACTTAGGTGTTTTAAATCTTTAAAATATTTCAATAGTTACAATTTTTTTTAGATATAAAAAAAATTTTTTTAAAAATATTTATGACAGTTAGATTTGAGAATATCCGAACAGTGACGTTCCATATCACGTGACGTCCGTGTCTCGTGAAAGACGCTACTTGCTAATAAACAGTAATTTTAATTTATTTGTAACAAACAGTTATTTCTGATGAAAAATTGAGGACAATTTGAAATATCAAATATATATATAAATAAATAAATACTTTCATAAAATAAAACATTATAATTTTAATTTGAAACTTTTATATATATATATATATATATATATATATATATATATATATATATATATATATATATATATATAAAACAAGCTAAGAGCACAATATGAAAAAAAACATTGTAAAATTTCAACTAAACATTTTAGATGAGTACCAATTTTCAGACATTATTACATAATATATATTAATAAATATAAATTTTTTCTTCAGCACTAGCATGATTCAGAGTTTCATGCACAATGTAATCTTCAGGTGTTGAATTGAGACTGATTCAATTTAGTATACATCAGATTATATGATGGTTGTTAAAGTTTTCACAAGAAAATTGGTATTAACCAACTGATGTTGGTAAAACATTCAGGATATACTTCCATTCTAAATATATCATGTGAATTTCATTTTAAAATATCTGTTTTATTACTAATATGTACAATAACTAGTTTGGTGGTGTGAGATTTTACTATACAACTCAAGTTCTGTTCATTGTATAATAAATAAACATATATAACATAGATTTTTAATTTCAGATATATAAAAGATTGTGAGAAATCATAAGAAAGAACAATGAAAAGGATTACAATGAAGAATATTGTATTGATCCACAATAGATTTTTAAAAGGTAGTGTTGTGAATATCAACAAAGAGAAGAAATGCAGAATATTAACACTACTGACTAAAGACATGAAATCAACCAAACTATCACCTTTAAGTCATCATCACAAAGAGAAATTTGTAAGGTGAAGAAGTACAGGAAGACTTATTTCTCAATAGTAAAATTTAGTGATGACAGAGGGCTAGAGGTTGAGTCCTTCATGGAAATAGTTGACCAGTATGGCTATGAAGACAACAGTGGGGAGGTGGAGTAATGCTTTGAGCTACTATTGTAGGCAGTAAAATTAAAGGTTCCTTCAAAATTTATGATGGTGCCAAGATAAATACAGAGAATTATTGTAAGTTCTTTGGCAATACATTTTTTGAGTTGTATAGGTCATAGACAAGTTAACTTTAAGCAAAATAATACTTCTTCATATTTTGCAAAGCCAAAAAAGGTTTCAAAGATACCAAATTAATAAGATGTTGTCCCCAAACTCTACAGATATTAATCAAATAGAAAACTAACATTGAAAGACATGTATAGGTGAATAGAAAAAACATTTGAAAAACGTATTTGAGAAGCAATAAAACTGCTGCAAATAATGTTAAAGTCAAAAGTTAACAAAATCACTGAATAAATGACTGATGAAGATTACAGAACGTCAAGGAGCCCATTTTAAGATATAAATAATAAATAAGAATTTCATCATCTATATTTGATATTGTGTCAATTAAATTTCTGTTTCTATGGTTTCTTTCCTTATGTTCCACTTATTTTGTTTATATAATAGAAACTGACACCCTCAATACAAGTTATGTTCAATATTCTTAATAAAGACAGATAAGTTTGATATTTCTCATATAAGTATATCTTGAAAATTGGTTGGTTAATTCCAGTTGTATTGCAAAAACCTTGACCTGCACAACTCAATCTGATATATATATATATATATATATATATATATATATATATATATATAGAACTATTACATTTTTAGAGGATATTTGAAACAGAATTGGGAAAGTAATTATTTGTCTCTAAATTGAAAATGTCAACAAACTGGTTATAGGTTACAGCTAAATCATAGTTCAGTTGATTTCTTCAACAATATAAATTACAGCATTGAAAATGATTATAAACCATTGACTGGTAGTACATGATGTCATGATGAACTACTTATTTTTATCAACATTTATTGTTTTACACTTATATGATTTCAAGCTGTTCCTTCTGACACACTACATTATCCCCACCTACTATAGGACATTTTTTATTTGGTGAGAATTCAAAAAGCAATAGAAAAACAAAATGAAATGTAAAAGTAAATGACTAAAAGATGGCATGCTCAAGTATAGAAATATTTAATATGCTATGTATCATATTTCACAAAATAACAAACATGTACACACCAATGTGGAAGCTTCACTCAGATTAAATAAGAATTGAAATGTAATTCTGATATTAGTAGAAGAATGAATTAATAATCTGCTAAAGATAATAAATACTTCTCATTTTGAATTTACTGAGTGGATTTTAACTTGACAAATTCACTAGATGAATATATAATAGAAGCAACAGAAAATGTTAAATATATTTTACTCCATAGCTTTAACAAAACCGGAATAAATACTTTCTAAATACATTTTATGCTGAAAATCAAAATGGAGAATATTTTTTTTTTTAATTATTTTTACTGAATCGATATGTTTAAAAGTTTTTTTAGCTCATTTCTAATACAATTTTATCAAGTTAGCTGATGTAGAAAATATAATTATGAAAATGTTTGTCTTTATTGGTATTTTTATAAAGTAAATACAAAGAAATGTGAGAAAAGTTTTTTATTCCTAAATAATCTCTTATTACATATGTAGAAAGAATAGATTCAGAATGAAAAAGTAAAATACATCTATAACTAAATAACATTTAGTTATACATAAGAATTTAAATTCAAATATATATGAATTGGAACTTATTGGCTGCATGTGTAAATGGAAATGCACATTTACATCCAGCAAGAAAAACATTTTTGGTGAGGGATGGTTGCATTGGCTTTTCAAAGTTGCTACTATCCAAATTAGTATGTAATTACAGTATGGACTATTCCATAAATCT